TGGGGCAGATGGCAAAACAACCTGAGTAGATGCCTACGTGGGATACGAAAAATGGGGATGCTACTTATTCTTTCTCTGACCTCTTTAAAAATCCCCTTTCCCCAAATCTAGGGTCTGTGCCAGACTATGCCTGCCTTTACCTTCCTTATTTATCACTCACTCTAAGATGGATGATTCAAAGATGGAGTGTCCTCTTGAGGTGCCCATAATTTTAACTTGCTCTATTGGCCAGAATCAGAACCCCTCATCATTTCCTTCACCCTTTGAAGAATTAAATTATTATTAAGGTAATTCAAATATTTTTAGCTGCTATGCTTTTAAAAGAGAGACAGAGAGAAACAGAAAGAGTGAATGAAAGAGAAAAAAATCTTTCTGTGTCTCAGTTTCCTTACGTATAAAATGGGGATAATAATAGAACCTATTCACATGATTATTATGAGGTTCAAATGAGTTAACACATGTAAAGTACTCCCAAATTTTAAAGCACTGTGTAAGTGCTAGCTGCTATTATTATTGCTTTGTCATGGTGTCATAGTGGTGGTGGTGGTGGTGGTTGTTGTAGTAGTAGTAGTAGTAGGGTGGTGGTGGTGGTTGTAGTAGTAGTAGTACTAGTGGTGGTGGTTGTAGTAGTAGTAGTGGTAGTAGTAGTAGTAGTGGTAGTGGTGGTTGTAGTAGTAGTAGTACTAGTGGTGGTGGTGGTGGTTGTAGTAGTAGTAGTAGTAGCAGTAGTAGCAGTAATGAGGGTGGTGGTTATAGTAGTAGTAGTAGTACTAGTGGTGGTGGTGGTTGTAATAGTAGTAGTAGTGGTGGTAGTAGTAGTAGTAGTAGTGGTAGTGGTGGTGGTTGTAGTAGTAGTAGTACTAGTGGTGGTGGTGGTGGTTGTAGTAGTAGTAGTACTAGTGGTGGTGGTGGTGGTTGTAGTAGTAGTAGTAATAGTAGTAGTAGTAGTAGTAGTAGTAATGGTACTGGTGGTGGTGGTGGTGGTTATAGTAGTAGTAGTAGTGGTAGTGGTGGTGGTTGTAGTAGTAGTAGTAGTACTAGTGGTGATGGTGGTGATTGTAGTAGTAGTAGTAGTAGTAGTAGTAGCAGTAGTAGTGGTAGTGGTGGTGGTGGCGGCAGTGGTGGCAGCGATGGCAACATCCCTTATCAGGGGCTCACTGACCACCAGAACTTGTGTCTTCTTCCTGCCATCGGTAATACATATCTCCTGTTTTGGCAGAACTTGTGGCTGCTCACCGCCGATCCATGAAGCATGAGAAACTACTTCCTTCTTCAGCTCTCCCTTCCAGTCAATGAACGTCAATCATTCATTCAGTCAGGATTTGTTAAATGCCTACTATGTGCCAAGTACTTTGCTAAGCCTTGGGGATACAAAAAGCAGCAAAAGACAATCCCTGCCCTCCAGGAATTTACAATCTAATGGAAGAGACACCATGCAAACAACTCTGTACAAACAAGCTTTGTACAGGATAGACAGGAAACAATTAACAGAGAGAAGGCACTAGAATTGAGAGTTAGACCACGGCTTCCTCTAGAAGGCAGGATGCTAGCTGGGACTTAAAGGAAGCCAGGGAAGCAATGAGGCAGAGATGAGAAGGCAGAGTATTCCGGGCAAGGAGGGGGTGGGACAAAGGTGGGGAACTTGCATTCTCCAAACTCCTGGAGCAGATCAGTTTCTCCTCTGTCTCTTAAGGTTCTTTTTCTTCACTTCCTTTTTGAGTCTTTCCATTCTTTCACAGACCATGTGAGAATTGTTCTTCCCACTCTTTGATCTCTAGGGGAGACACCAGCTTGCTTTTCATAGAGATATTATTAGTTGGCATGGGGAAGAAACACAAAATCTTTGCAGATTCCTGGAACATTCTTGTCATCCTTCATACCTTCTGAAATTGGAATCTTTGGTTCTCTGTGATATGATGGAAAGAGAAATTAATTTAGGATCTGGAGGACCAGGGGTCAGATCTTAGGTCTGCTACTTAATATCTGTGTATCTCCAGACAAATCAATTCACCTCATCTGTAAAGTGAGGGAATTGGAATAGATGACATCTTTGGTCTATTCCAATTTTAGGTCTATGATCCTATAATGTATAATCAGAATTGGGTTTAATGGGAAAAGTGTTGGATTTAAAGTAGGGAAACTTGGTTCCAATTCTGCTTCTGTCACTTACAATTTGGCAAGTCAACCTTTCTAAACCTCAGTTATCTCATCTGTAAAATGAAGGGATTGGGCTGGATGACCTCTAAGGTCCCTTCCAGCTCCAGTCATTTCCTGACTATTTGCTACACCACTGCTCTGAAAGGAATGGGATCAGGCTGTGGGGAGGGAATGGGGAGAAAAGGGAGGAAATGTTTCTAAGTGTAGTTTTTAAAAAGCAGGTCTTGGGGCAGCTAGGTGGCACAGTGGATAGAGCACCGGCCCTGAAGACAGGAGGACCTGAGTTCAAATCCGGCCTCAGACCAAACACTTGACACTTACTAGCTGTGTGACCCTGGGCAAGTCACTTAACCCCAATTGCCTAAAAACAAAAACCAAAACAAAACAAAAAAAAAAGTAGGTCTTTCTAACTGTCCTTCTGGCATTACCAGCCAAAATGCAGCTTGATCTGCTAACTGCATATTTCTGTCTAAGCTCTGATGTAAAAGGGAGAAGTTGCATATCATCTGCAAGGAAGTCTTCTGTAGAAATTCAATTTCCATCTACTTCATGACTCTTCCTTTCTCTTCTATCCTCTCACCAACTGATTAGATATCTGATGTTATCTATCATTATCTCCTCATTGCTTAGCTACAGTATTCCTGTCTAACAGGGACTTCTTTTGGATAGCTCAGTATAGTAGAAGGACCTCTGGACCTGGGTTCAAAACCCAACTCCACCACTTATTCGTTGTGTAACCTAGGGAAAGTCACTTAACATCTCTGGTGCTTACTTTCCTCATCTGTAAAATGGGCATAATAATATTTGTATACTTGTAGGACAACTCCTATAGAACTGTTGTAAGGTTCATTTGAATAAAATATGCAAAACTCTTTGTAACTATAAAGGGCTATAGAAATATGGTATTATTTTTCATGTACACCACAGTGTAGTGCTGATCTTCTTTGGGCTCTTGCCCGATAATTTTAAGTATTCCAAAGAGGTGCTTCTGTTATGTTTACTTGCCTGCATCAGAACCTGGAAATAAATAATGCCACTTGGTTAGGTATAAATAGATATTAAACCCAAAGGTCTCAAGTTCAAGTCTAAATTTAGAACCCATTTAGTAAGGATAGAATTTAAATGAACAAAATATGCCTCCACTCATGTCAGGGGGAAACTGTAGAAATGCATGGTAAGCATGCACTCTAAAAATAGGCTGTGCAAGAGAAGCAGTCCTGGAAACTCTGCATTCATACACTCACTGATAATGGCCATGCAGGAAACACGTGTGAATTCTAGTGGTGGCTAGCAGTCCCAGGGCTGGGTACACTGTAGGAGTTATTCCTGCCTGGCTTTTTTTTTAGGTGTGGGGTAGGGATGTGGGACAATGGCAGTGGTAAAGCTGATTCAATATTGAAAATAAAGCTACTGGCAGTGACAGATACCTTATATTTGCTTTAGAACTATAAACACATCATAGATATGAACACTGTGTCATCGTCAAGCTTCATTTGACTTCCTAGAAGTTCTAGGTATAATTCATGATTTATTTTTTCCTTCTCAGCTTGAGGAAAAGCTAAATGACATCTGATCTGCAGGACTGCAAAGATATATATTAATTGCAAAGAGTTTTGCATCTTTGTAAATATAGATATATGCATGTATATGTATATCAAAGCATGCATTTCTATTGAGTTAGCCTTAGGGAGTGTGGCATAATGGGAAGATTATTAGCCTTAAAGTTTAAAACAACAAAAACCTTCATTCAAGTCCTCCTGGTTCTGCCACTTATTAGTTGTGTGACATTGGGTAAGTTTGCTTCTCTGGGTCTCAGTTTCCTTCTCTGTCAAATGAAGATGGTAATATTTAAACTAACTCAAAAGGTTTGTAAACCTTAACACATTTAATTCTGAATACTCAAGGGTTTTGGGGTTTTTTTGGTTTTGTTTTGAGGGTTTTTCTTTTTTGGTCCAAATGTGATTTCATCCATGCGGTAGAATTCCATGGACAATGACCAGCATCTTACATGTAAATAGCAAAGTTGTGTGGGGCTCTGAGAGGTTAAAGCCAGTAAGTCATGTTGCCTCTCTGAGGTATTTTAACATAAATGTGAGTTATTATTTTATTATTTTAAACTCATCATAGGTATGTGTGAGTGTCAGTGTGGTATTGGGGAGAGCTAACCTTAGACATGAGGTGGTATGAGTTCAAATCCCACCTTTGACACATGCGGGACTTTGGACAGATCTCTTTCCCTCTCAATATCCCAGGTAACTTTCTAAGACTGTAAATTGAAGAGTAGGTTCTGATCTGCATCAGTGCAAGGCAGTTTCCATACCAGTAGCTGCCTGGACCAATGAAATCATAGATCTGGTTCACCCTAGCCCCTACAATGTGTGTGCACATATTAATTAAAAACCAGAAAAGAATCAAGGGAGAATTTTGCTTTATGCTCTCTCTTTGGGGATGTAATGATTTGATTGTGTTTTGCTTGTGTTCTGTGTTCAACTTATGGTAGAATATACATAAGAAACTGTGGAAAAATTCTTGCTATGTGTGTACAATCTCCTGAGCAAAGTAGGCTGGGGAGGTTGGGGTGGGGGGAGGGTGTAGTATGTGAAAATGTGACATTCTTAAGAAACTCAAAACAGATTTTTTTTTAAAGAAAAAAAAAAACTCTCCTATGAGGAACAGCCCCTCTCTTCTCCTATCCCCCCATTGCCTCACCCAACTTTGCATTCTCACACTCCTGATCCTTGTCGCCTCCTCTGCCTTCCTCCGCCCCTGCACCCCCCATAGATTGGCTCCCATCAGTATATATGAAACCTCCTCCCTGGAGTTCAGTCACTGGAGAGCTCCCAGAACCACTCATTCTGACAGTTCACAAAGAAACTGAGCATTCACAGGGAAACACTCTGTGGGTCAGTACCTTGTGGGATTTCTGTGCAGTTTTCTTTAAAGAAGCACAGACATGCTTGGCCCTCAGCTGCTGCTTTTGGGTTGCTTGGTGTGGGGGGCTCTAGGCAGGACAGCCAATCTCAGAAAGGGTAATGACAGGAACGGCAGATGCCTCTACACTTTCACTGTGCACAGCCCCAATGAGTCCAGCTGTCCGGGATCTGGCGAAGCCAATTCAGCCATCCAGGAGCTCCAGAGAGATAGCAGTGCCCAGCAATCAGAGTTAGAAGCTGCAAAAATCCGACTCAGTGTCCTGGAGACCCTGGTGAAGCAACTGAGAGGGGATGAAAGTCCTGGTCTCATGCCTCCAGCTGTACAGGAGATGCAAAGAGAACTGGACAACCTGAGGAGGGAGAAAACCAGCCTGGAGGCTGACTATAACAACTTCCTCCAGGAAAAAGCTTCCCTGGAGAAGGAGAAAAGGCAACTAGAGAATGAGAACAGAAACCTGGCAAGGAGGCTGGCAAACAGCCAACGGGAGCTGGAAATGCTAAGACTGGGCCAGTGTCCTCAAGTCAAAGAAACAGCAGCTGACATTTCCCAGGGTTCCAAGGAAGGTAAGACCACAAGATGGACAAGCTTGGGTATGATATGAAATAATGTGGATTTATTTCATGAAGTTCTCAGATGGCACGGTAGATAGTGTTAGACTTGGGAGTCAGGAAGACTTGAATTCAAATCCTGACTCAGACCCTTAGCTAAGTAAATCACTTAACCTCTCCCAGATCAGAAAGAGCCCGAGGTTTGAAGCCATCAGATCAAAGATTTAGAACTGGAAAGCATTTAAGAGTCATTTGGTCCAATTGCCTTTATTTTTTAGATGAAGAAACTAGGGCCCTAAAAGGTTATATAAACGCATCCAAGGTCACACAGGTAGTAAGGAGTTGAGCCATGATTTGAACTCAGGATCCCAGTTTAGGAGGGCAAAGTGATAGAGTAGAAAAAACACTAGGCTTAGGGCCAATGCTAAGTAACTTATTCAAGGTCATGCAGGTAAGTAAGGGGCAGTCCTGGAATTTCAATTCAATTCCAGTTGTCTTTCCATTCTATCCCCTGCACCCCATAACCAGATGGCCTGGGTTCAAACCCTGGTTCTGGTCCTTATTGCCTAGCACTTTAGTTTCCTAATGTGTAAAATAAAGACAGTTGGACTAAATTACCTTGGAGCTACCTTCTGTTTTAAAATCTATGAACCTAATGATGCCCCCAAGGGTATTTTTCACTCTTACCCTCTCCTAAAGAAAAGAAGCAGCACAGCATATTGGATAGGGAACAGACCTGGGAGCCAGAAAGACTGGGGGCCAGTGCTGACAGTGACACATGCTGGCTTTGTGTCCCTGGGCAAATCACTTAACCTCTCAGTGGTTTAGAAAGCTCTAAGCCACGGAGAAAGTGGTGACCTGCAGATTGACAGAGGATATTTCTTCACCTGGGAGTTCCTTGCATCAATGAAATCTCCAGTCTACCTCCTATCTCTTCTCCTAAACAGATGTTTTCTGGTACCTGAGGGCAAATGACCATCGGCACACAGCACTTGAAAATGATTTTGGAAAATACGCTTTAGTTGATCAATTTTACTTTACTCACTATTAATGAGGAGTTGACTTTTTTCCCTCTAGTTTCTCTGCTCAGGTTTAAAATTTTTGTTTATTTTTATTTTTTCTGCTTTGCTAAGATACATGGAATGCTAGTGCTGGAAAAGACTTTAGATGAGCCGTCAGAGATATTCAGAGCTGGAAGGGCCCTTAGAGATCTGGTCCAATTTTCTTATTTTACGAATGAGGACAGCATAGTTCAGAGAAAGCAATTCTAAATCACAGAACAAGGAACTGATAAAACTTGGACTTGAACCCAGGTCTGGTGACTTTCATTGCAGCACACACTCACCTTTGTGTGTGTGTGTGTGTGTGTGTGTTTGCCCGTGCCCACGCAATAGACAAGCACTCAGTGCTTTGTGCACAGTAGGTCCTTCATAAATATTTACTGAATGTCCTGTTCAATGCTCCTGCCACCATTTTATCTTTGATGTGAAGTCAACTGTGCCATTTTAAAGTTATACTCCTAAACCATGTCAGAATGCTTTCTACATGAAAGACAGTACGTTACAATTCACATGGGTCCTCAGTATAGCTTTAATTCTATCTGAAGTCTGAACTAAAGAAAATTACACAGTCAATTAGATCCATGTCTGACAGCCAAGCCTAATTTATATGCATTTATGTGGATGTGTCTGAAGCTATTGGACTGGGAGTCAGAAGATCTCATTTTAAATACTGATTGCCGTGTATGACTTGTGTGACCTTGAGCAAGTCAATTAAATTCTCTGGGCCTTGGTTTCCTTAACTTTTTAAGGGGTCTGACTAGCTGATCTATAAGATAGCTTACGTCTCTAAATGTATAATCTGATGATAATAATGAATTCAATCTAATAGAATATGAACCCCTCAAAGGTAGGAATTGTTTAGTTATTTCTGTTGTCTCCATGACATCTCTCACATTCATCCCTTTCTTTCTATGGATCAACACCCTAGTTCAAGTCTAGTTTCCATCTCTTGCTGGGATTATGGCAATAGTGACTTACTTGGTTTCCCTGACTTAAGTCCTCTCCAATTCCTCCTTCACACAGCTGTCAAAGTGATTTTCTGACCATGTTCCTCTCCTACTCAATGAATTCTATTGACTTCCTGTTGCCTCTAGAGTCAAGTACCAATTCCTGTGTTTGGCGTTTAAATCCTTTCCCAGCTCACCTCTGTTTGATAGTTCAGCCCTTAGGACTCCCATACATTCTACAATCCAGCCACAGTGGCCTTATCACTGTGGCATAAATAGGACACTGTGCCTCTGTCTTAGCCATCCTCCATGACTAGAATGCACTCCTTCCCTCTTCATTTCCCCTTCTCTTCATCTCTTGTTTCCTTCAAAACTGACCTCAAGCACAGCCTTCTACATGAAATCATTCCTTATCTCTCCAATTGCGAGTGCCCCCCAATCATCTTTATTTTTAATATATTTTACATATGCAAACATATGCATATACATATATGTGTAAGTATATATGTCTATATTTTATATGCCATATATTCTATACATGCACATACACATGTGTATATATATATAAACATGTTCATATACATGCATGCATACATTTATATATGTGTGTGCATGGGTGCAGATGTATGTATATATGTGTGTATATGTGTTGTGTTTATATGTACATATAAATATGTATGTTTTCTCCCCCAACTGAATACAAGATACCTGAGGGTGGGGACGGTTTCATTTCCGTCCGTGCCTAGCGAGGTGCTGGCCCACAGAAATCATTGATTAAATGCTTATTGACCGAATTAGACTGGATTCAATTTTTCATTGTCTTGTGGTCTTTGGAGAATTTCCTGGGCATAGTTTAAAATTTTGCATTGCATTTTTTCCTGTTTCCTACTTCACTTTAGAAATACAGGTAAGATTTCATAGAGCAGTTACATTTCTCCCCTTTGGTAGGATTTTGCTATGAGTAGCACATGAAATTAGAAGCCCTTAGAGCTAGAAGGCAATTAATTGAAAGAGCATCTAGTCCAACCTCTTCATTTAAAAAAAAGAAGAAACTGAGTCCCAGAAAAGCTATTCCAACTACTCCCTATTGCCTCTTAGGCTTCAGGATCTGGGGTTTAAATAATAATAGTTAGCAAATATTTGTATAATTCATTAAGATTTACAAATATCACCTCATTTTATCCTTATAACAACCCTGGGAAGTGAATGTTACCTCCATTTTACAGCTGAAGAAACTAAGACTGAGAGAGATTAAGTGACTTGTCTAGGGTCACGTAGCTAGCAAGTATCTGGGGCAGTATTTGAACTCAGATCAGATAGAGCATTCAGTGCTCTCTCCATTATATCTCTCAGCTGTCACTTCAATAGGCTTGCTATCTGATCTTTATAAAATGAAACAGCAAATAAACAGCAAATAAAAAGAAGCATCCTGAACAAAATATAGCAATATATCATACTTTTCCACCTTCGAACAATAGTATTTTGGGTTAGTGGTTTGAAAATCTAGGGGGACCTTGTCAGGTAGTAAAAGGAAGGCTAACTGAACTTGATTCAGAAGACACGCATTCAAATACAGGCTCTGATACACACTGGGAGATCTTGACTAAGTAAGTCTTTACTTCTCTGAGTTTTAATTTCCTCACCTGTAAAATGGGAATAATTACACATGTATTACCTACTTCACATTGTAAGCCTTAAAGCATTATTTAAATGTGAATTGGTTTTATCATGCTTTTTAGGTCAGAGTGAGGATAACTTATGTGAGAAAGACTGAGGAGAATTTAAAGATAATTGCTGCTTGTTGACAGAACAAAAGAACTGTCAGGATTGTGTCACTCTTGTCTCACTACCTAGAATACAAACAGTACACAGTCCAGTACTTTCATTACAGAGGGAGGCTGTTATAGATAAGAACTACATGCTCCTATGAAGTTATCCTAAAATAAAATGGTCTTCATTGGGATAGGGAGAGACAAGTCACTGCAGGTGAATCTTCATGATGACTTGTTACAGATGTTATAAATGAAATTCATGCTTGGATCAATGATTGGACTAAATTGTCATTGCTCAGCCATTTTAGTCACGTCCAACTCTTTGTGACCCCATTTGGAATTTTCTTGGCAGAGACACTGGCATTTCCTTTTTTTTGGCATTTCCTTCTCCAACTCATTTTACAGATGAGGAAGCTGAGGCAAACAGGGTGAAGTGACTTGCCCAGTGTCACACACCTAGTAAGTGTCCGAGGCTGGATTTGAACTCAGGTCCTTCTGAATCCAGGGTTGGAACTCTATCCACTGCACTACCTAGCTATGCCTGGACTAAATTATTTCTGAGGTTTCTTCTAATTCTGAGGTTCTGTGATTGCATAGGGTAAGATCAAGAAAGCACTGCACTTCTAGGCCAGTGGTCTCCAAAGTAGGGTCAAGAAATCCCTAAAGGGTCATAGCATGGCTTGATCTCAAAAACTGTAATGTGATTAACCAATCAAAGGGTGGAAACATGGGTCACATCCTTCCCTCCTCACAGCAGGGAATCATGAAACTTGTCTCCAACCAATCACACCTACCCTTCACCCAGGACAACTCAACACCCTCTTACTTCATCTCTCCCACTTCTGCTCAAGCTCCCAGCCTTCTCCTGAGCTGGGAGTTGGCTTCCCAGGTTAGTTATAACCTAATTCCAAATCAGATATTTGCAACAGCAACTATGGAAATGCAATTGAAAAAAGTCACCCCCAAACTCATGTATTCCCCTCTGCACCAAATGCTGATAGGTATGCATGATCAAAAAAGTTAGGGAACCACTGTTATAGAACATGGAAATTATTTTGTAATATATATTCCCTCTAATAAAATTTGTTGTAATGGAATTTCACCAGTTTCCTTTTAAGCAGTGATCATCTGGATTTACACAACAGATAAGTTTGGAGGTGGTTGTTTATTTTGAAAAAATTGTTTTAAATGGAGAGCTTTCCAGGGCATTTAAGATTATGTATATATATCTATAT